GCAGCTCCCAGCCTGCTCAGCAGCACAGGGCTTGTCCTGCGCTTCCCCTGGGGCTTTGAGCAGCCTCCGTCATTACATGTCCTCTGCAAGTCCCTTCCTTCCTGCCTGTTCCCCTTCCCAGTTCGTTAACTGCGATGTTTAATGAGCATGGCGCTGGCCGGCTTTTGCTGCCGTGGGAGCTGAGTGTTCTCCCCCCGCCCCCGGCCCTGCCGGGCGCTGTGTGATGCCGTGGCTCACTCAGGCCCTTTCAGAGCCTGACTTGGGTTGGTCCTTTGTCCCCTTGGGGGCCGGGGTTTGATGTGTTCAGCCCACAGTTTCGCTCCAGAAGCTGTGTCGGTTGGGCAAGGGTCCGTGATTAACCCCTCTCGGCTGTCAGCCCCCTCTCCCCCGGCAGTTTCTTCCCTTCCCCACCTCACCCGGCTGCCTGTGCAGGCTCTGCAGGTATCCCAGATCAAGAAAGTCCGTCTCCTCATCGACGAAGCCATCCTCAAGTGCGACGCCGAGCGCGTGAAGCTGGAGGCAGAACGTTTTGAGAGCCTCCGGGAGATCGGGAACCTCCTCCACCCCTCGGTGCCCATCAGCAACGATGAGGTAGGGACAAGACGAGGTCGGGACAAGAGCACGCTTGGGGCCGGCCGCGCTGCTTCATCAACGCCAGACAACTGCCAGCAAGCGCGGGGCTCGCTGCGGGGAGGTCCCCCCTCCCCAGCCCGAGATCAGCGGGCGGGTGAATGAAATCTGCATGACAAGACAGCGTTTCCTGCGGGGAGCAGACAAAGAGCAGCTCAGACAACGCTGGAGACGGCCATTGTTGGGGGAATACATGGGAAACTCGCCTCCAGCCGCGGGGCTGGGATCTCCCACCCCTGCCTTCATTCATCCGGCAGGAATATTTTGCTGGAAGAACACAATTGGGCCCGGCCGGCTGCCAAGTGGCCGCATAATGAGTGACCGGCCAGGCTCAGGACTGGGGTTGCAGACTCTGTGGCGTGGGATCCCAAACTGGGCCCAGTGCATCACAGAGATTGGTGTCACTGCAGCCCTGGGAGCCAAGGTGATGGGCTCCCCCTCCTCTTCTTTCCGTCTTGGTGTAGGATGCAGACAACAAGGTCGAGCGGGTCTGGGGCGACTGCAGCTGCAGGAAGAAGTATTCCCATGTGGACCTGGTGGTGATGGTGGACGGTTACGAGGGGGAGAAGGGAGCCATTGTCGCTGGCAGCCGGGGCTACTTCCTTAAGGTGAGAGCCCACACCCCCGCGGGGGCACGGAAACTGTCGGAGCCAGAGGGAGAGCTGAGGGAAATGAGGGGGAGACGGGGGTCCTGGCTTCTCTTCCCCTGGGCTGAGCTCGCTGCAGTGACGGGGGGCTCCACGGCGGGAGGGGCGCC